CCATTCTATTATTTTCATTCAGTAATTTTTTATTTTCAGAAGTTAATGATGCAATAAATAAGTCAAAAAGGAAAAAAATTTAATTCATTATATATTCATCTTAGTATCTCATATGCTTAGAAAGATATTTCCTAAAGTAAAGACATGAAAGAGGCCAGGAAGACACCGGCCAGTTTAAGAAATATTGTATCAAATTGATGGCTTTATCATACTAATAATATGGTTCAATTAATGCTAAAATATTAGGGGTTAAAGAACCCTGAGCATATTTAAAGTTCTTTTATAATTCTGATTGTTCAAACTAGTATTTATCACCAGTTATCTTGGTTTCTTCTACAGAGTTTCTGCTAATATATACAATAATAAGAGTGGCTTTTTTCTTTAGTTAATCTTATCAATGACTTGCTCAATGAAGAGATAGGCTCCAGTATCTGAAAGGGTTTTTAGTCCTTGTGGGAGATATGCTTAAGGAAAATTGGTAAAGAATCAAATACTAGCAAGAATTTTTATTTCATGTTTTGACATGTTGAAAATTTAAAAATAGATACATAAAGTATTAGCAGTGTACAATTCTACTTGATATTTATCTGCATCATCCTTTACACCAGAGACTCTCCTCTTCAAACCAGCTTGCTTTAATTCAGTTGTTAACTGAAATGATAGTTCAGAAAGAAACAACTTTTTTTTTTGTTTCAATTACCAGCTGAATTAACTATTTGAATAATTGATTCTGCCAATATAATATTTAAAATTAATTAAAGGAAAGACAAAATGCCGTAATCTATTACTGCTAGGGTTTGCTCCCAGTCAGGACACAAGCCAAGAGACAAGCCCTTTTTTTTCTATAAAGAAAATTTTCCTTGAGAAATATGTAGAATGAGTTATTCACTTTCCTGCCAAATACGAAAGATAAGAACAAACACACACTTATATATATACACACATCTACACATCATATTGAATCATGTTTGCCAGATCAGCTGAACATTTAATGAAAAGGAGTCACAGCCTGATCCATCTCTCACAGAAATTACTGGGAGGCTTTCCATCAGCTCCAGTGAGAGTTGGATCTAGCCCCATCTGCATGTTTTCAGGCACAAGACCAATTTTCATTTCCTGACCTGTGTGTAATTCCATTGAGGATTCCACTACTGCAGAGAGAGAAGAACTTCTCAGAAGATTGCAAATATCCACCACATTTTCAGTTAACATTCTGCACATACAGTAACTTAACCCTATTCATTAAATATCTCTATCCACATCTTCCGTGTTATAGTTCATTTAAGAAAAAAACAAAATATACCATTAATTGCTTCATTACAAATCTTGCATCTGCTGTGTTTGCATGAATGTATTATAGACACATGCATTCATACATGTGTGTAATCCATCTCTGCTGCAAGGACAAAAATGGCTTTTGATGTTCATGAATGGAGCAATACATGGCAAGCTTTTCTATCAGAGAATCACAGAATGGTTTGAATGGAAGGGACCTTGAAGATCAGTCAGTTCCAACCCTCTGCCACGGTCAGGGACACCTTCCACTAGCCCAGGCTGCTCAGAGCTCCATCCAGCCTGGCCTGGAACACTTCCAGGGATGGGGCAGCCAAAGCTTCTCTGAGCAATCTGTGCCAGGGCATCACCACCCTCACAGGGAAAAATTTCATCCTAATATTTAATCTAAACCTGGTCTCTATCAGGTGTAAATCATTCCCTCTTGTGCTATCACTGCACATCCTTGTAAATAGCATGTGACCATAAAGAATTAAATAGTAATACTGACTACAAGACAGGTCACTCCAGATTTCCCAAATCAGTCACTTAGAACTTGTCATTTTCTAAAATCAATGTTGTAATTCATAAGGACTGTCTATTTATCTTATGCTACTTAACCTGAGGCATTTCGCACAAATGTTTCAACTCCTTTAGGTGTAAATGAAATCTCTCCTGAAATAATAGAACCTTGGGGTGTTATTGTTCACTCATCTTTTGTGAAGCTCTCTGAGTCCTCACAGTTTCTTACTCACTCTCCAAATAACCAATAAAATATTTATTTGAACATCCTGAACAGGGTGGTGGAGGGTGAAATTTTGTTCTTTGCTTACTCGAGTAGCAAAAACACACCCAAGTGGTGTTTTGTATGAAAGCTGTATTCTAGAACACAAACCCCACTGGGCAAGTAATACATTAGATGTGTTATACTTTGTCTTGCCAGGCTCATCAGGCTGATTTGGAATTTGCTGCCTGGGTAGAGTGACTCATATGTTTACTGACCCTGACAGGTGCTGGGCATCTTCCACATTCATTAAAGTTAATGACTTGAACAGCAGAGAGAGAAAACTGTCTGCTGGTTTCCTCTGAACGTGTATTCCCAAGTTATCATTTAAGAGAGGATGTAAGTGGTGTCACTTTTCTCGTACAATCACAAAAGCAGCCCCTAAACAAACCACTGTCTCTTCATTGCAAAAATAACCCAATTAGCTTCACAAGAACTCCTTGTTGGAGTAAGGCAAGGGAAAAAAAAATGCACTGTACATAGAGATTTGCACATAAAAGCTGCTTCTTGTCATAAAACCAGTCACTTCCTCACTGGAACAGAGGAATTAACATACTGGCAACAAGCCAGTAATTTTATAGAAATATATGCCTTTAAGTAAGCTCCAGACCAGTATTCTCTCAATAGCCACCCTTTGGCATCATTTCTATCCCAACAAGCCACAGCTGCTGAATTGAAGACTTCTGACTTCATGTTAAATAAGTAATGAGAAGTTTTAGGCGGCAGCACCAGAGCCAGTCCTTTGATATTAATGCAGCACACTACAGTTGTTGACCAGCCACACCAAAAAAGATATGCCTTTAATTTGCATTAGTTATCTAAAAACATTCAGGAGAAAACTTCACAGAGACTTATGCCATGACATTAGACTGTCAACCAAAACATGAAGAGATAGAGACCTCACAGACATCTGTGTATTCACACAAAACCAAGAAATTAGGAGGATTGAATCTTTTAACTACAGAGACATCTCTACTTTGATGCCTGTCCAGCCACTAGATCTCCCCTAATAATATGACCAAGTTCTGTACCCTGGCTTCCACCCAATAAGACAAATACTGAGCCAGAGACCTCACAGAAACCTGTGCCCTAATATTAACCTGCCACACAAAATATCTTGAGCTTATGGTCTTGCAAAAAGAAGAGGTTAATATCTCTAAAAATAAGGCCAGATAATTATTGTAATCTTAAATACTCATCACTTTTAATGTCTAACTTCTAAGGGCCTTCCAAAGCTACCTGTGATGGTGCATTTCCACACTTAGGACAGTTCAATTGAATGGTTATATTTAGGTTTTTTCCTCTTCTGCAGATCTCACAACAACATCTCATCATTTCATAAGACACTGATGTACAAAGATGTGAGCATCACATCTTCCAAATGCAGACTAATTTGCCATTTGCTGGACAAAATTAGTAAGCCAGAATGTTCACTGATGGAAAATTGCCCAGTTGCTTGGAATTTATTTCAGTAATTTGGGGATCATTAATTCAGAAATTCAGTAATTTTTCCATCCACATTGGCACATAAAGCAATTTGACAAAAAATATTCCATGTTAGCCTTTTGATTCTTGATATCTGAAAGGAGCTTTTCCTACTTTTGTAGCACTGGATCTTTACATTGTTCCTTGTTTTCTGCCTATTCACTGAACATTTCTTCTTGAGTTATTTTTGGGGTTTTGATGTGGGGTTTTCTCATTTGGTTGGTGTTTTGGGGGATTTTTATTTGGGGCTTTTTTCTATTTCTTTTTTGTTTTACCTTAAATTAATGTCTAATTTATAATTAATTATGTATCTCAGATAAGCAAGATAATAATAATATTCTACAGCATCAATGACTGACTTGTTTCCAGTTCCCATTTACTTTAAGCCAAAAAAAAAAAAAAAAAGCTGAAGAGCAACTATTTTATTGCACTTTTACAGTCCTTGATTCCTCACTTGGAAGGCCAAGAGAGCTGTACAATGTGTAAGACTCTGCAGTGCTCTGTGAGTCTCTGCTTATTGGTCAGGATCAAAAGCACACTAAAATAATTGAGAATATTTCCATGATCTTCTGTGGAGTTTGGTTGGGCACAACAAGTAACAGGCACGCTCACTGAAATTAAAGATTCTCTGGAAACACTTTACAACGGTGGTCAGCAGAAGAAAGGGATAATCAAGTTCTTCCATAAGCTAAATTTCTTGGACCAAACCTGAAAACTTGAAAATTCTCTCCTTTGGATGCTGATTCTCAGCCTGTAAGCAAATTAAACTGTTTTTTTTCTCCCTGAAAGCTGAACATGGTATTGGAATATATTGACTTTGCTAGCACTCGTGGAATGCAGGGAAAGAGCAATGGTTAACCAAGCCTAATGGACCAAGATTACATAATTTGTGAATGTTTAGAAAATAAACCTCAGTCAACAATTTACAAGAGGAAATTGATAAAAAAGGCTTTGTTCAAAAAAGTTTGAAATAGCCATAAAAATCCTAAACCCGCTTCAGTCTGAAAATGATCTACTGACTATTTTTCCATTTTCCTGGAAATACCATTAAAACTTCACAATTGTGTAACTGCAGCAGCACTAAAGACACCAGGGTTACCTTTGGAAATGAAATCACCATAATAAAAGCTGCTTTCTTCATTATGCAGAAAGTACTGTCATTCTGAGGGATGAGGGATTGCTTTAAGAATTCTGTGATGATTCTCTTGGGAATCAGGCACTACTCTACAGATTAGATCCTGAACCACCTGTCAACCCCATTTCTATTCAAATTGCTTTACTTTGAAAGACATGACTTCAAAGCCCTGCAATGGCACTGCAGCACCACCAACCAGCTCAAAAGACTAATTCAGAGCACCAAACAGTGCCTTTTGCAACCGCTGAGAGACAGACAAAAATATAATCACAACATAACAAAACACAAATCCCACATAAATTAAAAGAGGAAGCTGCATCTCACCTCATTTGTACTTTCTGTTGTGATGTTTTTATTTTTCAACTTTTTCTGCAGCAGTTTCGTTTCATACTCTGGCCTGGGATGCTCCTGAAAAAGACAAAAACAAACAAACAAATGTGATTATGATTAAGAGAAAATCCAAAAAAATTTTTGGTCACATTCACAAACAAAGCCATCAAGATTATGCAACTCCACACACCTTTTGGACTAGGCTGTCAGATCTGGCCCAGCTTCCCTAATCAATAACTTTTCCACATGCCCTTGCAAAATATATTTTTCTTTCTCAAATCAGAGTATAAATTAAACAAGGTGGCAAAAATTTACCAGGCTTTTCAAGTGAGCAGCTCACAAAAGAGAAAAATGTCATGCATCTCCTCATTCCCACCAAGTTCTGAATTCATTCAGAGCTGGAATTTGGATTGACATCTCCCACAAAAAAAAAGGCTACTCTTACAGCATTCATCATATAATCCTTCTTTACTATAATTAGAACCCTTGCATATTGGCCCCACCCAAAATATTAACATTTTTAATTAATCTGATAATAATGAAGAGAACAAAAACCATTTTAAATTAATAAATACTCATGAGCAATAGAATGGGGCCTACATGGAACTGCACCATAATTCCTTGAGAGATACAGGTGGTATTCGTTTTCTGTACCTGTGACATTTTCACCACAGCAGACACAACTCTCACTATTCTCTGTTGAATGTGAGAATATAAATTCAGTGAGACCCCCAAACTATTTTTTTATCCTGATAGTGAGGCTTTCCTAATGCATTTAAAGATATTCTAGAGCAACACCACTTACATCCTCTCTTAAATGATAACTTACACTGTACAATGGCATATGGGTATTCTCAGCAAAACATGATCTCTTACCTTATAAATCCTTTTCAACATTCATTATTAATTTCAGAACTGAGATTCATAATTTAAAATTATTAAATGAAGTTAGTAAGTTAACATTATTAACTGCTGAACAGTAAGATATAAGTGAGGCTTTGCAAAATAAACATTGATATTCAAGACTGTATCAGTTACAGTCCTTTATCTAAACACAGCCACGAACTGCATTGGGCTGCAGAACACTAGTGAGACATCTATACATCAGTGCTTATATAATATGCATCTATAGAATAATTAACACAGTAAATTAGCCCAGGGAAAGGAGAATTACCTCTTCTTCTTCCAGTCCAGTTAGATCCCAGAAGTAACTCAATCTCATCTGCAAACGCTTCCATTGTTCAAGGAACATGGTCGCTTTAAAAGGAATTAAACAATTTTAAACATTCGTGTTACTTGTAAGCTTCAACTGATATTTGAATCCCATCATGCAAGACACTTTAAGAACTAAGAAACAGCCTCAGGCCCAGTTTTAAATAAAGAATTCAAGCAAACCACAGGGACAATAACTTCTGTCCTTTAAAAATAAAATACAGAAAGATGGAACATGGGCTGTCCAGAGCCACTGTTAAGTTCTTGTCAGGGAATGGAACTGAATCCATAACTGCAGGTATCCATGGAAGACATCATCTCTCTTAATTCACCGTGAAGCATTCTGAGGTAAATTTAGCCTGCTACTGAAATAACTAGGACTCTCAGCAATATAGAGAAAAAGAGTCTTTGAAATGTATTACAATGGTGGAGGTAAATGCTTTTTACCTTCATAGACATGGTGATTTTGCCCTAAAGGACTGGCCCCTGGTTCAGCCTCCTGCCTCTCCTTTTTTACTAATAAGAAGGAATAGGTATTTTACTGTTGTCCCATATTTGCAGTCTCCTGGCTGTCCTCTCATAATTGCTGTTTCCCCAGTATAGCCCTTTCCTAGTTGCTCATAATTAAAAGCTATAACTCTGAACAAATGGGGGCACTGTTTTCTATTTTCTTATGCTTCACCTCACTTTCTCAGTGGGTGAAAAACACTGTTAGATCACTTTGAACATCTTGTAGATAGTCCCACAAGAGAGACAGCAATGGAGAAGCAGATTAGCTTCTCTTGACTGCATCTAAACTGTGAAAATAACCTGCCTCTACAAGTCATAATCTATCCCAACAGTTAGCTGCAAATATTTTCTTCACAGGTATCATCATATAAGAAAGAAATATAATTTAAAAATAGGACTGGCAGCACGTGAAAAGCAAATCTAGATATTAAGCAGCAAAGTTGCTATCTGTGTTCCTCCCCTACAGAAGAAAGAACATATAAAAGCTATATTTAGCATGGTTTGAAAACTCAAGGGTTTTTAGATATCCTAAATACAAAAACATTTGGTTATTTTATAGGGTGCTATTACTCATTCCATTCTTTCCTGTTATACAAAAAACTCAGTTCCACATTTAGCTCTATGAGAACGTACTTGGCTTGATGCAGCAGCTGCTCTGAAATCAGCACGTCTGCACAGACTTACACCAGCAGAAAAACTAAACTGACAGAGAGCAGGGTTAGATTGAATATTAGGAAGAAATTCTTCCCTGTGAGGGTGCTGAGGCCCTGGCACACATTTCCCAGAGAAGCTGTGGCTGCCCCATCCCTGGAAGTGTCTAAGGCCAGGCTGGATGTGGCTCTGAGCAACCTGGCATAGTGGAAGGTGTCCCTGCCCATGGCAGGACAGTTGGAACTGAATGAGCTTTAAGTCCCTTCCAACCCAAATCATTCTGTGATTCTGTAAAGCTTCTAATAAAGGCACCTGACACTGAAATTCATCACCAGAACAGCAGTGTCATTAAGCCCAGTCAGCCAGGCATTACTGTGAATATGGACACTTGCAGCAGGACTGCTGGAATCACAATGACACTTCATGAGGAATCAAGAGCAGCTACTAAGAGCATGATTCCTTTGAAATATTAACCATGGGAAGCCTTCTGCTTTCTGAAGAATGGGAGAAGACAAGCAAGATGAAAGAAGTCCTGTGCACAGCACCCTCATGAAATGAAACTGGCCCAGATCACCTTAGTTTGCTCTTTTAAATACACACCTGGAATTGGTGTGTGTGTGTGAGCTCTGCCATTCAACAGACTGAGCTACAGCACAGCCTGCAGTAGTAGGGCAGCAAAATTTGGTGTAATCTAATACTTGATAGGAAAGCTGGGCAGAGTTAGTAAAGGCTCCATTATTTCACTTTGCTGCTCTTTGTGTGTGCCGGCTTCATTTTCTTGAACTGACAAGCTCAGTTATCATGGTCCCAAGAACAGACTTTTCTAATCTGTGGGAAACATTTTTTGACGGAGGGCTACAGCTGTGAAAGAATTTTGTTATTCTTAAATGCATTTTTTTTAAAGCAGTGCATATGGAACTTTTTGTCCTGTTCTGTTCCATAACAGATTCTACTAATTTTTCTTAGTCCAAGGATATATCAACATTTTCTTTTGCACTTGCATTGCTGATACTACAATACAATTGTTCTGGATGAGGTTCAGTGGCAATTGTCATTTGCATAGATGCCAGTTTACAGTAGAGTTTCTTTGTCAGGAAAATAGTATTTTATTTATCTTAAGCTTCACAGCAGCAGGTGACACTTAATCTGCCAGTCTACCCTGTAATCTGAAGTGGTAAAATGAATTATTCTCAGAGTCTATAAATTCATCCTCTTTTTTTTCTATTTCTCAGTCATAATTCTCTCTAAGTTTGCTCTAGGGCTTCCAGGAACTGGTAAATAAATATTTCTTGCTTCCATGATCTGTTCTGTCTGCAAGTTCCTTAAAAACCTTCTGTTGTCCTCACCCAATGCCAAGCTACCAATCAGTCCCTTCTAAAACAAGCTGTAAAATCTTAATAGGCTTGCAAAGAATAACACACTCCTTGCTGAGGCATGGCTATAATGGAATAACATATTTGCTCAGTTTCATACTAAGAATGATAATTTCATTTTGGGACCAATGAATAGGGAAACAAAAAAATCATTTTACAGTAGCAATAACACATTTAACATTCACAATAAACAAGCTCTAGAGTAAAGGAGATCATAATACCAGCAATAATTAATGCAGGCACAATACAAATGCTTTTCAGAGCAGAGGTGAGGCCAGAAACAACAAGACTATTACTGCAATGCATTCATTTATTTGGGATATTTGCCATTAAAGAAAAGAAAGCTTGTTTAAATTGGATATTCTAAAATACATTATAATTAAAATTAAAATAGCCCCATTGCTATTGGAATCCCATAAAGTTTTGATAAAATTATGTGACTGAATTGTTCCACAAGGTAGTGAGACTATGCTTAAATTAGACCCTTTCAGTTGTCTGCTCATACCAATCCTCAAATACATTCTGGCTCCAAATGCAGAAGGTGTTAAAAGGGTGTGACATGTTGATGGAAAATAAAGAAGAATTAGCAAAAACATGGCAAAGTTTAGAAGTGCCATTAATGGCACCCTTTCCTCTGTGGAGAAAATGGCCTCAAGATGTGCCAGGGAAGGTTCAGGTTGGACATCAGGAATGATTTCTTCCCATTGGCATTGGAAGGGGCTGCCCAGGAAGGTGGTGGAGTCACCATCATTGGAGATGTTTAATGAACTGAACATGGCACTCAGTGCTCTGGTTTAATTGACAAGTGGAGATCAACCAAAGGCTGGACTTGATGATCTTGTAGATCTTTTCCAGACTTGACAACTCTGATTCTAGACATGGCAGAAGAGGAAGAAAGAATATTTTTTTCTTCCCTGAACTACACAACTCCATTTATTCCAGAGCTTGCTGTTGACAGTGATATTGCTTTCCCCAGCCTCAACACAGACAGTTCTCCCTGGCCTTCTGAGGATTGCCAGCTTCCAAAAGCCATAGGGATCAATCAAACAGCACTTTGCTATGCTGTAAAGAGCCCAAACATCAAAGGGCACTGTTAGCTTGCAAAGCCATACTCACCCCAGAGAGCCATAAAGATGGAGAAGAAAACCGTGGCAGGGTTGTCAAACAAGTGACTCGCTCGAGCGGTGGCACAGGCAGAGCTGAGGTTCCAGTAATCACAGAACTTGTCACACAGGGGGCACATGGTGAAGGCATTGCGCTGGTCACACATCTCTTTGCTGTGACAGACAAGGCACAGGGTGATCTGAGTGTCCCAGCTCACCAACTGTGGATGTGCAGTGCTGATATCCAGCAGCACATCACAGCTATTACAGGCTGTCTGCAATATCTGTTGGCTGTTCTTGCAGAGAGCAGGAGCTGTGTGTTTCCTCATGTCCCAGATTGAAAGGAGAGATACATTCCATTATCATCTCTATGGTAGTTGTATTAAGTGGGCAGTTTTCCTTATCTCTTTCATAACCAATTCTCCCTCAGGGGAGCTATCTGCTGATAATGGAACATTGAATGTCTCTTCATGACTGATAAGAACTATAACATCCCACTGGGAGATGCTCTGCCCAGAAGGAGGTGCCAAGCATTCCTACCTGCATAAAATCTGGGTTTTTGGGACACCAGACTCAGGCTTTTCTGGATTTCCAGGAGGACTGTAGCCATTCCAATTTGGATGCCTACCAACACCCTGACCAGAAAGGGTGTCAGGTTGTATTCTGACTCTGTCAGTGGTTTTTCTTTTGTATTATGGCATGTATTGTGTTTTCTTTTTCACTTTTCCTAATCATTTGTATTTCTGACTTCGAGTTCTCAAACCACAACACCTCAAGGTTCATTGCCATGGATAGTAATTTTTTAAACCCTTATAGGCACCTTACCAACAGGAAAATGATGCAACACTCAACCAGATTGATCACTGCATTGTATTAGTGAGTTAAGGAACACAATATCACTGAAGATTGAGGCTAACCACACTAAAAAACCAAAATTCAAACACAGAAGTGGGGTTTGCATCTCTGCAGTCAGTTATGTGATTTGATACAAATTAGACTTAAACCACTGAAAAGAAAGATCGAAGTGGTCTCAAAGAAAATTCAGTGCTGTCATCAAAATGCACATTTTTTTATGTGGCAGCACAAAAATATAAGAAAAAAGATATTTTACAGATTCTAAATCTTTACCGTAAGGTTGTTATTTTGATTCTCAGTCTTATTTGCTATGTATGTATTTGGATTCTAAATATCTTTGAAAAAAACATTATTAGTATCACTTTAACAGGCCAAACACTTGTTGTCAGGGCTGAGAACGCTTTCAGTGTTTTCCATGAGGTTTGGATGTGAAAGCCTTTTGTACCTGCACAGTCTTACTTAGGAACTGAGTAGTGCAAAGCTCAAATGTCCTTGCCAGGATCATGAGCTGAGTTGCCACATTATTTCAATGACAGCTGGCATATGGTGATTATGATTGTTCCTATGGACCATCCTGAAAAACATTGTTTTTCCCTACAACTTCAAATGGAAAAAAAAAAAAAAAAAAGGACAAATCAAGCTGTATTATGAATATGTTTACATTATATGGTTTGAAAAGCATGCAGCTGTTTCCAGCTTTCACGTTGTTACAGTAATTTTCTATTTCAAAAGGCAGCAGAGGGTGCTGCAGATACATCTCATCCATAAATCTCACTGGAGTTTAAATGTTAGCACAAGCTTTCACCCCGACAAGCACCAAGATTTATTCAGATCAAGCTAAGAAAACAGACCCTGCCTCAGATGTGGTGTTGTTCATCATTTACTTATCAGTAATCTTGTCCTACTGCAGTAGATTTTAAAACCTGTCAGTTCAGGGACTGGCATGAGTGTGATCAGCATACAAGTACTGCAGTATCCTGTCTCCAGCAGAAGTCAGACACAGACAACAAACAGGAATGATTTTTTTTGGGAAGTAGACATTAACATCACAGTGTCACTTTGGCAGTTTTTGTGTGGCATATTCCCGTCAGGATACACAAAACTCATCATTATTTTGTGTCTAGAAGGGGAACACTGTGAAGACTAAATACAGAATCATAGAATGGGTTGAGTTGGAAGGAACCCTAAAGCCCATCCAGTTCCAACCCCCTGCCATGGCCATGGACACCTTCCCCTATCCCAGGTTGCTCAGAGCCCCATCCAACCTGGCCTTGGACACTGCCAGGGATGGGGCAGCCACAGCTGCTCTGGGCACCCTGTGCCAGGGCCTCAGCACCCTCACAGGAACAATTTCTTCCCAATATCCAATCTAACCCTGCTCTCTGTCAGTGTGAAACCATTACCCCTTGTCCTGTCACTCCAGGCCCTTGTCAAGAGTCTCTCTCCATCTTCCCTGTGGGCTCCCTTCAGGCACTGCAAGGCCACAGTGAGGTCACCCCAAAGCCTTCTCCTCTCCAGGCTGAACAATCCCAGTTCCCTCAGCCTTTCCTCCCAGCAGAGCTGCTCCATCCCTCTGCTCCCCTTGGTGTCCCTGCTCTGGCCTGGCTCCAGCAGCTCCCTGTCCTTGCTGTGCTGGGATCCCAGCCCTGCAGGGGAGTCTCAGAGGGTCAAAATCACATCCCTTGATCTGCTGACATTTGCTAAGTCTTGTAATTATTGTTCATCTTACTTATACAAATGGTCTGATTTTAATGGGAATCAAGTGTTCCAAGAGTCGTGGACAGCGTTTGCATTAATTTCAGTGAGTTTTACACAATGACTGATTGAGCAGTGAGCGATGTGCACTCATAAAAAGCAAATTAATATCTTAGAAAACTAATTTAATACACTGGATTCACTTCACATTTCTGTTTCAGGAAGTGAGACAGTGACCAGTCAAATAAATGTGTACCCTTCAAATACCTCTTCAATGTCTCTGTGTTTGTAATGCTCACAAGGCTGGTAATTATACATCACTGCTCTTCAGACATGCTAAACCCAGTTATTCTCACTATAAATTACTACAGATTAATAAGAAAAAGCACAGTCTTATAATTTAAAAACAACAAATCATGGATCACAGATAAGCTTACCTAGGAATGTCACTTTCAATGGTTACACATCCATATAGAAATACAATAATCCCAACTACTGAAGATGGAATGAGGAATTCTGTGTATAAACCCAGCCATGCAAAATAAAGTCCTATCTTTTCTCCAAAATACTTCCTGAAAAAAAAAAAAAAAAAAAAAAAAAAAAAAAAAAAAAAAAAAAAAAAAAAAAAAAAAAAAAAAAAAAAAGAAGAAGAAAAAGCACACGTCAAGGATATAATTTTAAAATGTGTTTTACAGCTACTAAACAGTCCAGGGAAGTTAAAATACAAATTGTGAAAGACATGAATGAAAACCTTGAGGATCTTGAAGACAATAGGAACAAATGAAGGGGATGATTTAGGCATTTGGCAGTTTGGGCTTCTTTGTTCTGAGAAGTTAAAGACAGTCCTGGATCATTCTCCTGAGCTGAAATTAAGCAGGTATCATTGCAATACATAATTTCTTTTCAAAGAAACCTGTGATCTTTGCATCTCTTAAAAGAAGTCAGTGACATAGGAGGAAACATTGGAAAATACTTGGCACCTCAGAGGAGCACATTAATTTTTGCCTCTGCAGTACTCCTGGATTCAGTTAGTGAGAGTCATAGAAACAACATCTATGGGACCATACTGACAACATCCTCTAATATCTTAAAAGATGACTAATCTGGAACTGCTGCTAAAGGAGGAAAGTTTACTTGCACACTTAGCACTGGCTTTTCAGAAATAATAATTTTGTCAGGTTAACAGCCCTTGGACAGCTGGTTAGAAAAAACAGTGTCTGCTCTGAGGAACAGCCCACTGCAGATGTTGATAAATAAGTGGTAGAACTCAGCCCAGCATCTGCATGAATCACACTGCAAGAAGTAAACTAAGCATGGATGACTCCCACTGATCATTCCAAAGTACAGGTAGGAGTGATTACAAATATTGCAAAAGTCAAAGAGCTTCATAGAACTCAGGAATTCACCAAAATTTAGATAAAAAACAACAAGGTTAAAAACATTTCACAAGCCAAAGATGATGGAGCAGTGTTGGACAGAAAGTAGCTACAAAGAGAACACTCAGGGCATGACATGGAGTATGAGTCAGTGAGACATTTACACTTTGATAGCAGCAAAAATTAAAATAAATTCATGATGTCATGTCTAATAAAAGAAAGACAACCTCCTCATAAAGGTTGAGCACAATTCCAGTTTGAGATTTATTCTGACCTCATCTACCTTAAGAAAGTTTTATGCAAGTTCAGCCCCCCAGATTTACATCATTCCTACTGAAAAAGCTTAAACGAGATGTTTGGAGGCCCAAACTGAAATTTTCTACTCCAGAAGTTGGGACTAAGGGCCAGACATACCACAGGAGAGATAGGGCAGGAGTGCAACCATGGCAGAGAACCACGGGACAGCAGGACAAGCCTCCACAGTCACTTCCAGCTCAGATGAAGCGGATAAGGGAAACAACAGTGAGGGATTTTTATTACCACAGATCCTGCTGTTGTTCTCACACCATCACAGCTGCAACTAACTCTGCACTTCCAGGCTCTTCTATGGAAAACTGGCAGTGCAATCCTGCCTATTTCAGTTTTGCCTTCCATGAATGCTTCTATTTTCTCATGTCTAACCAAACTTGCTTATGCTTTAGAAAGGATGCATGCAATCTTAAAGGGGAAAGCAAAACAAAAGCATTTTGAGGAGATACACAGACAATATTATCTTCAGTATGAGGGGATGCCACCCAGAAGCTGGGAAATTTCAGGAATCTTCAAGGAAAAGAGTACAGCCCCTACACCTGAGGCTGCAAGGTACCCTAAGCCACAAACTGTAGGAATTATCAAACAGCACAAGTGAAATCACCACAGTGTGGCTTGAATGTCAATAAGTTAAGATCTGAAGCACCTTGGGACAATGGATTTGCAGAGAACACAAGGAAATATGGTGTATTTTATGAAATGATAAATATATTTGTGTTGTAAATACACATGTACTGTGGGACTGCCCTCTGATCTGGCACATGCCAGGTAATTTTGGTGGTAATTATAAGAAGCAGCTTTCCTTTATTTTGACATTTGAAAATAAATATATATTTAACATATATTATATGTTAATATACTATGTTGTTAGTATAGTTTGTTTAACACACATACTTAAATATGAAGTGAAAGAAGGCATATGTGACTGAAATATAGAACTAACCAGAAGGTTAGTTCTATATTTCAATTTTTTTTCTTCAAGCCTCCTGTGTAAGTCAACAAACAGCAGCAATGATGTTGGAACAGTACAGAATAGAGGAAAAATCCATTTGCCCTCAAGTTTCTTTCTGACTGGGGAGTGGCAACCTTAAATTTGACATTAAAGCAGGAAATGCGAGACCAGAGGGAGATAATCCTGATTATATCTTCATACTGCTTCCTTGTTTGTAGAGGTGGGCAATGGGTACAGTTAGTAATGTGTTTCAAATAGGTCAGAGCAGGCACCAAAAAAACTGTCCACAATCTAAGCTGTTCAAAACTCTCTGTTCTTTTGACAAAGGGCCACAAATTAGCACAGAAAGAGTTCAAATGCCAGCAGCACTAAAGAGTAACTGATCAGGGCCAGGGAAGTTTATGGCTCAAGAAGCTTGCCCTCAAATTTTTAAGCCTTCCAGTGATAAATGTGACCTATAGCCTATAAAGTGAAGGGTTGCTATTTGTATCCATGCCAAAAGAAAGTGAGAAGAGCTCAACAGTGTCCTGGCAGTATGGAAAAATGCAGTTGTCAAAAAGAAAACTGCACTGTATTTTGTGACTTAACTGTTTTGAAAAACAAAAATAATTAAGATGCTGTGCCCAAGCTCAGTCCACCAATGAGCCAGAAAGTTAAATAATCTAAGGAGAAGCAATGACAGAGCTTGGAAACATAATCAACAATTTCAAAATGAGTTAATCAAGTCAGAAGAACGCAGGACATAGACATGTCCTTTCTTTGACACACCCCAAGAATTCTTCTCTGGTTCCTCTGAATAGCAGTCAAGGCTCTGCAAACACCTGTGACCCCCTGTACCAACATCTACTGCAGCTGCTGCTGGATTCAGTAATAAATTAACAGAGGAGGGAAAATGTATGCTTCAAGGGTAGAGGAAGATGCAAGTCAAGAAAAAGTATTTTTACAAGTTTTTATATATTTACACCAAGAACTTGGCATGTTCTCTCATTTACATTGGGATAAAACCAGTCTGATTTTATTATCCTATAGGAATTATCTATGATTTATGCTGGAATGGCAGAAGAGGAGAATTGAGACCAGAGTCTTGCCCTGCCTCAGTAGCTAATTCACATCTGCCTCACATATATCCAGGCAAAGTCAAGGACTAATCCTGTCCAAAGTGTGCTCATGGATACTGCAGAATGTCACCAAAAAAGTGTGTCCCTGCCATTGTGTGAACTTTATTTCTGCATTAGGGAAATGCCCCTTTATATGCACATACTCCATGGAGGCAGGGGCTATTTCCAAACTAAAGGGCAAAATGGCTTTGATAAAGAATGTGTACTGCTCCTGTCAGGAGCAGCACCCAAGGGTTTTGTTCTGTGTGTTCATCCATTATAAAGTGAAATTTTGTGCCTTTCATTTTAAAGGACTTTATAAAGGCTGGTTAAACGGCCACCTACCAAGTATTGAGTTCTCATGAACAAGAATCATGTCTTTAAGGAAAGATTTGATCAAATTACCTGTAACTCTTGAACAAGCTGAGCAAGTGCTGCTCTTCCAGCAGATTATTAGAAACAGCATTTAAGAACTCCCAATAGCAGCAGCAACAACAACCACCTATAGAAAGTGTATTCCCTCCCAGAATTAGAAGTGTTGAGAAGGCCACAGAAGAAATGTGGGCTCAGTTCCCTCTGCTTCGCCCATATAACACTTGAACCAGACATCTGCAATGCACTTTGGTCTGTCTGGTTGCAAAACCAACATCAAACAGAATAACTGATTATTAAACCCTCTGCTCGCACGTTGGTCACAGTGCTGCCGTGCCAAGTTGTGCAATTTATAAATAGACGAAGGTTTGGGGAAGGGGGGAGAAAAAGAGAAGGGAAAAAAAACCCTTCAGTTTTGACTCTGTGAAAACAAGTGTGGGTACCTGGAATGTGAATAAAGCATGTGGTGCGTGACACACGCTGGAAAGAACTCTGGAGACGTTCAGGAACAAAGCTTAAAAAGTGAGAAAAAGGCGCTGTGGACACTGAGTCACCTAACTGGGAAATGTGTGCAGAATCCTTCAGTTTTTAAATTTCCATAGCCCACTCTATTCCAGCTGTCACTTCATGTCTCCATTTCATTCCACCATCCCTTTGGTGGAGGAGTCGTTCAGATGCAATAGCTTTTATGCAAAACAAAACTGACCTACAGCTGCCTCTAGGGGAGGTTTCCCCCATGCAAATGGTCAACCAAGTCACACATATTACCGATGCCTTCAAAATAAACTTATTTGCACAGTTTGGGGGTGAAATTCTGGTGTTTCTGCTGTTGGGGAGAAGGACGAGCAGTTTAGTTTCATGTCAGAGCATCTTTACTAGTTTGAAAATTTCTTTCCCTGTTCATTCCCTCTCTGGCCCACGGCAACAGCCCCCAGAACACAATTTATTCTTTCAGGGCTTCTACAACCAGAAGAAAATCTACCATTATGCTGCAGGTAGAACTGTGACTACCCTTAGAAAGTGAGAAGCAATTTCCAGCACATGGTAAATTCAGAACACAGGTATTTCCTTTGATTCTGAGATAATAGTTCCCACCATAGAAATTTTCCATCTCAAAACTTCAGACTTCTTTCAGAGACTGCTGGACTACAGAGAAAGCCCCAGTCACTACGAGACAATCAGGAACATTGCTGAGCACCCCAAGATTTCACTCCAAGTCGAGCTGTCTATGTCCAAACTTTTCTGGATTTGCCATTCTTTCTTTGCTTGAAAATTTTCTCAGGGCAAGATTCAAGCATTTATTACAACCATCTGGGACACCTGGGTGGAATTATCACTCAGCAGCAGCATTGGGGCTGCTGTGCATCCAGAGATCTTGGAGATTTCCACCAGGGTTGTGCCTGACAGCACATATTCCATCCAGGCAGTCTCAAGAAGGAACATATCAGTGCTAAATCCAGAT